CCTAGTTGGGAGAAAATGTCATTTCTTTGTCATGCAAATCCACAGAAATATGATAGGAATCTAGTTATTTAAGAATGTTCCTTCAGCGCATGCATCTATCCCAGGGCTGAGTATAATTCGATACAGTATGAGCCTCTCTCTTTATTATTATTTATAGGGAAGGGCTCTGGACCATAATTTCTCTAATGGAGGGGAGGAAGAAAGAAAGGACTGTCTCTGTTATTTTATATATACTTCCTTGCCAACGTTCAACATTTAGGAAAGGAAGTGAAATTGTTGCATGGCTATTTTGCACTTTTGTGTTGGCGCGACAAGCTTTTCCTTCTCTTTCAAGTGGCAATTACACTTGTCACACCTTCTTCAAAAAAAAAAAATAATAATAACACCACAGCAACCAGCAGGGTCTTGAAACCTTGTTATGTCCTCTACCCACTCAAAAGCCTTAACAATGTTTCTTTGTGCTGGGAAAGTGTGAAGTTGAAGCCCCGAAAGAAAAAAAAATTGGCTGCTGTGAAGAATCACAGAAGGAGCTAGTTTGGGCAGAAAAAGGGCACTTTTGAAGTCTGTGAAGGGTGATTTGTCACTGCTGGAGCTGGAAAGATTTGGTTGACGGTGGAAATAAATAACTAATGTTTGAACATCTGGCTAGCTGTGCAAGGAACCCAAATAAACAATAAAATGGGAAATGCATAAACTTTTAAAAACTTGAATAAGTCAGGGGATTGAATTATTAGCTTCAAGGTCAAAGTTTTTTTTCTTCCAGGGAGAACTATAGTCAAAAAGGAATAGTCCTGTACTTATGACCAGAATGGAGCCTATCCATTCTGGTCATAACTCATGATGGTTGTAAAATGGATCACCCCTGGGACTGACCCAATTTGGAAAGCTTTTTGCAGCAGTCATTAAGTGAATAGCATGGTTATTAAGCGAACCAATGGTTTGCTACAGGCTGAGTTTGCCCAAACCAGGAAGTAAATGCTAGTTTTTGGCAAAAATGTCATACAATACAGTTACGTGAACATGAGATGTGTAATAAATGCTATATGTGTGGGTTGCGGTAGTTGCCAAGGGACCAATATACAGGGTGATGGTGATATAAGGAGATGACCAGGCTGAGCTGGAGGGAGGGGTCAAACATATCCTCAGCTTGGAATTGCTCAGCTCCCATAAGAGACCTAGGTCAACCCCCCCCCCCTCCTGAATTTCATTGACTCCTATCTAGCACCAAATTGCCTTGACCATTAATAGATCAGATTCTGGTGTATAGGTAGTATGTAATAAACTTTTAGTGCTTTGAACTCAACTCCTGTTCCTAGTTATTGGTCCCTTTCAGGTGGTGGCTGTTGGAACTTCAGAACCAGGCTGCAAGTACTGCCAGGAAAGTCCACTACAACTTTGAATGGTTGCTAAGCAACTAGACATAAGTCAAAGACAACCATGTAAACACATAGGGTGATAGAGTTAACCAAGATTCAGTACACAAACTGTCAGGTGCAAAGGATCAGGACTATCCATCAAGGTCGTAGACTTAATAGCACGTAGCAAGTAGATTTATACACTGCTTCACAGTGCTTTACAAGCCTCTCTAAGCGGTTTACAGAGTCAGCCTATGGCCCCCAACCATCTAGGCCCTCATTTTAATGACCTCAGAAGGATGGAAGGCAGAGTCAACTTTGAACTGGTGAATATTGAACTGCCGAACTGCTGGCAGTCAGCAGAAGTAGCCTGTAATACTGCATTCTAACCACTGCACCACCATGGCTCTTATGTAGCAGCATAGAAGATTTGTTCAGGTCTATACACAAGAATATAGTCAACTAAACTTCAATACTAAATTGTCACCAGATAAGGGTCAACAGATTCAAGGATGGATTGGAGTTGGATCATTTGTGTCCATCAATTTCTGGAAGAAGAAAAAGTGATCTCAAGAAAGAAGGAGGAATTTTGAGAAATATGACAGAATTTAAATTTTTCTGTATGGAAAGGTTTAATTTAGTTTAATCATTGCAGTGTTAATAGCTTCCAGTTCCTATTGTATAAATACCATTGCACTTGGCTATTATTTTCATTCTAAACATAATAAAAGAATGAAAAATAGAAAATAAGACAGCATTTGAAATGTTTATACAAAACCCAGATCACCTACTAGGAAATACATACAAATTGTTACTGAAGGAGAACAATGAAGTGAAATAAATTTAAAATGTCATGATAAAGTGGATGTAAAACAAAAATAATTATAGTGCAGTAGTGGAAAAGAATTATAGAAAAATCATTAAAATGCAGTATATTTTAATGATTTTTCTATAGTTTTTTTTTATCCATTGCTATACTGTAATTATTTTGGTTTTACATCCACTTTATCATGGCATTTTTAATTAATTCCACTTCATTGTTCTCCTTCAATAACAATTTGTATGAATGTCATAGTAGGTAATTTGGGTTTTGTATTAGCATTTCAAAATATTTTATAGCAATTGTCTCTGAATTATAACTTGCAGTATTTTTTTCCAAATGGGATATGCCTCTGTCAATAATTACTAGAATAGACCAATAAATGCTGGAAAAGTTATCTTTCTATGAAAGAAAAACTATTTGATTGGAAGACCAAAACTGAAGACAATACAACAGTGGTAAAATTGATAATAAATATCCATAAGAAAAGCCTAATCAAATTGAAGCAAGAATGGATCATGTGTACATAACACATTGTACAGCACGTTCAGTAAACATATTTGGAACATAGCTGTTTGGCAATATACTATGACACTAAGAAAAAAGTAATAAATGAAAGGATTCAAACAGATATTAGTAATATTTAATGTTTAATACAAATCGCATATATCTAGGCTGTGGTCAGTAGTTGGGGAAATAAAGGGAAGGGAGAGGGGATCATAATATAAAACTTTCTCATAATTTATTCATGTTGCACAGTAGATTCTTTTACTGTTCTTCATCTATGATTATCCATTGTAGATTTTTTCCTTTGACTTTCATTTTTTTTAAGTAATAAAAATGTTTTTGTGTGTGTTTAAAAAAGAGCAAAATAAAATTGTAGTCTGGGATAAATAACCCCCTGACTTCCAGAAGAAAAGGGCCAGACAAGGTGGGTGAAATGTGATGCAACCATAGCAATAGGATAGTCCTTGTAGGTGCACACAGAGCCAGACAATAGCAACAGCACTTACACTTAAATATACTTTATAGCGTTTTACAGCCCTCTCTAAGTGGTTTTACAGAGTCAGACTCTTGCCCCCAACAATTTAGGGTCCTCATTTTATCCACCTCGGAAGGATGGAAGAGGCTGAGTCAACCTGGAACCTGGTGAGATTTGAACTGGCTAATTGAAGGCAGCCGGCAGGCAGCAGAGGTAGCCTGCAGTACTGCACTCTAACCACTGCACTACCGTGGCTCTTACAAGGTAGGCCAACCAGCCGCCAGAGCCTCTGAGCCAATATTGATTCATGGGCTTTTGACAAGAAGCAGTGTTGTTGTTAAGAGATGGCAGTCCTGCCTCTGGAAACTTCGTTGGTGTTCAAAGATACAGAGTTAGTTGTGCAAATGGACATGCTGCAGATCTGCCAGCAGGAAATGCCGCATTTCCTGGCTATATTGCTAACGGGCTAAACATCTTGCTCTTGTGTGTTTCGAATTGGATGCTTTTAATTATTTGACTGGTTTTACTGCTTTTGCAATTTAAAAAAAATTTTTTTTTTACTTTTTACTATATTTGAAATGAATAAATAATAAATGTTAAGACTGGTTCTAGCATTGGGCAGAATCCAGATGTTGCTTCCAGGAGCTGGCCTTGGGCACTGGGAACTTTCCGGAGGAACTAGAAAATGGATGTCTATGGAGATTCTCAGCCATCCAGGTCATGGTTGTCCCAAAGGTGCTTTTTTTTCAAGAGGCAACTGGACTTTCTGGTTTTTTTTTCTTTGAAGACGTTTTGCTTCTCATCCAAGAAGCTTCTTCAGCTCTCTTTTGCTTCTTGAATGAGAAACAAAACGTCTTCAAAGAAAAAAACAGAAAGTACAGTTGCCTCTTGGAAAAAAAAAGGCACCTTTTTTTAAAGTTAGAAAATGGATGCCCAGCAGTGAAACTGGCGCTAAAAGTTACAAAATGGATGCCCAGCAGTGAAACTAGCGCTAAAAGTTACAAAATGGATGCCTGGCAGTGAAACTGGCGCTGTCCACTTTCCAGTGCTGAAATGAAAGGTGGGACATTTTCTGAGCTCAGAAACTAACCAGGGTCAGGCCTTTTGATCTATTCATTCATCTATAGAACCGGAGCAGCTCTTTGAAATCACAATGCAAACAACCTCAACCTGCGTGAGAGGAACCCAACTTATCTCAATATTATTTTAATGTTGTCTTAATATTCTATTGTATTCCGAATCCTATTCCATTCTGAATCCTATTCTGAATCCTATTCTGAATCCTATTCTATTCTGAATCCTATTCTGAATCCTATTCTATTCTGAATCCTATTCTATTCTGAATCCTGTTCTATTCTATTCTGAATCCTATTCTATTCTGAATCCTATTCTATTTTATTCTATTCTGAATCCTATGCTGAATCCTAATCTGAATACTATTGTATTCTATTCTCTATTCTAATTCTAATTCTATTTTCAAGTCAACCAAATGGATTTCAACGAAGCCCAGTGACACGTCTTTGCGTGAAAAGCCACCCTAATCTCAGGAGGAATGCTATTTCGGGTGACTGCCTTCATATTCCAAAGTCTTTTCTATTTCGTTTTATTTTATTTATTTTTATTTTTGCCACTTTGCTTTTCTGCGCGTGTTTAAAACGCTCCCATGAAACGGCCGGGCAGCGCAGATCCAACTCCAGCCAGCCCCGCCTCCTTCCTCGCCTCCCGTTCGCTTCCCCGCCGGCTCCGCCTTCCGACGCCGCGGCTCCGCCTTCCGCTCCGCTTGAGCCCCGCCGCTCACCGTCGCCCCGTTGTCATGGCTACGTAAGCGGCGCGGCCTACTCCGCCGCGAAGCCTGGAAGAAGTTTACCCGACCGACGGAGGCGGCCGACGGATTTGCAGCACGTCGTTATGTCTTTCCGCGATCTTCGGAGTGAGTCGGACGGGGCGAGGGGGTGGGACGGTCCGACGCAGTCTCCCAAGCGAGCCTCCTCTAATTTATCCCATTATCCAATCACCCGACCGGGGCGCCGTGATCCCCGCACCCCATTACCAAAGAGCTCAGGGCAGCGTATGTGACACCCCCATAGCCCGCTTTGATCCATACAACAACCCTGGCAGGTACTAGGAGTCCCAGGAGAGCTAGCATTAGCTGGCCTGCAAGAATCATCCCGACCACAGATGGCAGCAAAGAGGCGCCAGGCAAATCCCGGCTCACCGCTGCCA